CCTGAATTAGTACGACCTGAAATTAGAAGAGTGAAAGGCCATTGAGGTGTACTAGAATGGCCATTATATTTTTGAACATCTTTAATCTCGTTAATGTGATATACGAGCCTATCAACTGGCTCAAGCTTTTTTATTTTCATATCAAATTAAGAATTATTAATGATATACTTCTTTTAATCCTTCGCTTTATTCAAGAATCCTTTCTCGATTAGTGTATGCTTAATGTAAGAAAAAAGATCACATGTATAAGGCACTTCGATAAGGCATATACTTTGGTCCTTGCATATATCCCACTTCTTCTGATCACGCATCTTTTGTGATTTCAAATTTTTACTCTTCCGATGATACAAACTATTGTAATGATAGTGTTAGGGGCCCTGGAATTCGAATGCAAAACGTAATTCCTCGTTATACCCATTGAGATGCATCTTATCTAAAAAATTTGGCCTATGTGGTGGAAATTTCTTATCTAGTAGATCCTCAAAAATATATTGGCATTGATGTTCACTGCTTGAATAGTGGCATAGAGGACACCACTCGAATTTTTTCATGATATATTTTAGCAGATACTCCCACTGATGTGCATCATTTTCACAGGACCAAAGATAAACATTATGACTATTTATTCACCTAGTTTTCCCAAAACATTGGCCACTACGCTTTTTGACAAAATCTTCAGCTTGAGCTATCTTGTTATTAGAAGCATAAATGAAATGTACAGATAATATACTCTGGGGTGGGTACTCAACCTTTTCTGGATTAACTATTAATATAAGTTCTTCTTGCACAAACCCACGAGAAGAGGCATATTCTCTATCAAGATAATATAGAACTGGTTTATTCTTTGTTACAACAATTTTTCTAATTTTAAATAAAGTTGGACTCCATATCATGTCCATGGCCCTTCTCTGATTTTCCATACCCCCTTCCCATTCTGCATTGGCAAGTAAGTAACGGACAGTATTACCTTTCTTTAATTTTGCTTCATCTTTTCCAACTGGGCATTTATATTTTGCAGATGGTCTAGATTCTACACGTTCTAATGCAATGGCTTTTACAAACTCAAGCCCCCACTTTTCTGATCCTGGTTCTCAAATAAGACATGTGGGGTAGTTATTTAGATAGTCTATAACTTCTAGTAAAAATCTAACCCATGCTCTTATTAATTTAGGATCAGAAGTTATCGATTTAATAGCATATTGGGTCTTATACAGAATTTTTAAGAGTGTCTGAAACGCTCCACAAATGCAAGACCTCGATGAGAGTATTGACCAATCACTCGAATTGTGACGCTATACTCTTGCAATAATCTGGAGGTCTTACCCATAAATTCACGACCCCGTCACATTGTAAAAGCTTTGGCCATGTCAATGGATTATTTCGATTACCGTATACTTTTCTAAAAGCTTTAGCAACCTTAGAACTTTTCTTTGATCTAAGAGGAACTGAAGCCTTATATCAGGAGGCACAGTCTATAATATTAAGTACTACTTTATATTTTTTACCTTATAGTGATCATGAGTGAGAAACAGTATATCGCATTGATGAACGCAATTAGGCGTGTTATTCGTCCATAGCTAATTCTAGGAATGTATTTTGAAGAAGTTTTATTGGTTTGGTATGACTCCTGATTTTCTAAAAAATCTTTGCATTCACTTAGGCGAAATCGATGCTCCTCTTTTTTACATGTATCTCTCAGGGATTTAGGATTAGAATAATATTTAGTCGGGCGATAATATATATCTCGCATTATAAGATTTGTTTCGATTCTCCAGGCCTCATTTGGATCGATATAAATAACTAGTTTTCTCATTCCTTTGTTTTATTATATTGATAAAAAACAATGGACGAGTTACAACAAACTAACCAAGAGCTTTATGAGGCAGTGACGCAATTAGCAGAATCAAATAGGAATTTCGAACAACGT